GTTAGAGAAAAATCTAACAGTTAACTGGTTTGACGCTTACCTTTACCTGCTAGTTTGCCACACTACAGTCACACGCCACGCCACGCGGGAGGAGCACATGTAGTATACTCTCAAAAAGGAAAAAACTCCGGCACCCCTCTGGTGTGGGCGAGGAGCACGGGGAGAGAAGAATGATTGATGATGGCTCATAGACAAAGGAACTAAATGATTGAGACATGCATACTTTTATTTTTGCAACTAAAATGGTAATTCAGTTGTACTCTGGTTCACTACTACTTGCACTTATAAAATCTCTACTCCTAATGGAGCAGTTGGTAGTCTCGCTTCCAGGTTTTTTTTCGTCCCACCACTTTCGTCCGGTTTTTTTTCGTAGGTTAACTATCGTAGATTTTTTTCGATGCCGGTTTCTTATTCACCGGTTTATTTACCCCTCAGCTCTTTCCTTGCAAATCAGCACTTTCCAAACGTGCACGCAATCACGGATCTAAATTTACTAACTTATCCAAATCAACCGATACCTTCCATTATTGCAAATTTCTTTAGGAAACAAATAATAGATTTTAAGGAAACAAATAAAAGATTTTAAAGACGCATCATACTTTACTAACAATCACTAAAAATCAAATCTAAATTAATTAACCTTACCTTAAATCACTCAATCACTTTAATTAGAAAACATTTTCTTTCCTAACTGCACACCGCTTAATGTGCACATAACAATCCGAAGTAATTAGAGTCACATGATTGAATCCATTTATTTAGAGCGACATGATTGCGTTCCGGGATGGAGGCCATGATTTCGTCGAGGTCGTTGCTGCCTCCTACACTCAGGGTGTGTCACCGAGATCGAGGCGAGCATGAGGAGCTGTGGCCACCGCCATGGTCACCCCATCTCAGGGGATGGAGCACGCCGTCGGCCTACAGCTTGTGGAGATCACTGTTGCTCTTCAGGTCGCGTGGTGACCGGATCTTGCCGATGTGTCCCTCCCCGACGACCTCCTCTTCGCCCAGTTGGCCGGCATGGATCTCGCCACTACTGCCCTCAACTTCTCTGCCTCGAGCTCGACGGTCAGCCACCATGGATCCCCCAGCTGGAGGGTCACGTGAACCAGCCATCCTCCCATGCTGCAGCGGCGAGAAGGTGACATGGCTCTCCGTACACGAAGAGTGGAGTTCGGTCAAGTACTTATATACTTGGCTCTACTGCTGATCCATGTACATGGAGAAGAACAGACAACCGCTCATTAATGCTTCGTTCCACTCCTTTGCGCTACATTACTGGAGGTGACATTTTCCTATCTCTCTATGTTGTAACAAGCCTGCTGCCTGCATAATTAATGGATTTTTTATTTAAATTTATCGCTGCTTAGTGCTTTGTTGCAATTGTTCACCCAAGATTCTTATATATAATCTGAGCGTATGTAGGCATACTTAGCTTTGCTATTCCATTTTTTCTGGCGCATAGAAATAAGAGTATTGTTCAGGTTAGGTATTCAGTTGAGTATGGTATTTGGATTGCTATCAGAATGTCTTTTCTATGCATGTGATTTCTCACATTGTGGCTGGTCGATTTATATGAAATTAATTCCCTCAGTTCTGGTGGCAAATATAATACACATAATCCAAATTGTTATGCACTAGCGTGTATGTTTGAAATAGATGGATTATGGTCCCGTACCGTACCCAATAAGATGGATATGTGTGTGTGTTAGAGAGAGAGGGAGAGGGGGATAGAGAGTGAGGAAGAGGGAGGGAGAGTGTGTGTCTGTGTGTGTGAGGATTTGATGGTAAAAAAGGTCGCCAATGTCGTAATATTGAACTCTTAAAGTTAATGTGGCCCCGTTGCAACGCACGGGCGTTCTTCTAGTACAATTGTTAATAGCCCCAAAAGTTCACAAAATACAAACAACATGACAGAGAAAGTTAAGTGCTGAAATTTATGAGAGTAGGATAGAAAATACTCTTACATCAATATCACTTGTTGGTAGATAGAGCCCTGTTCTGAAAGATCCAAAGACTTCCACCTGCCAAGCGGAGTCAAGAACTAACAAAATGATGTGGCTATCATCGTAAAAATATATAAACGGGAGAGAGAGAGAGAATGTTACGATGCCTTGCAATGAGGCCATATATGCTTGACAACATCAGAGACAGCTTGCACAGCAGCTGTCCGTGAAGATTGCTCTTCGGCAGAAGGTGAGATAAAATCACAGAAGTCAAGAATCTCTGCAACAGATAGGCAATACTTTATTATCTCATCGGGCAAATGTTGCAGTAGAACCATATAAGTTTGTAAAGATCCCAAGTTTTGTAATGATCCCATGTTATAAAAACTAATTAAGCCTCCAAAGATCAAACAAAATGTGATCAGCGAGCCTAAAATCGACTAAGTAATACAGTATGTCTGTTTGCCAAAACCTTCTCCTATCACTTTCTCCATTAAAAACACATGTAGACCACTATACTATTGGTTTCGAATAGCATTTGACAATATTTTGCTAGCCCATCATTGTACAAACTGCAACTGCTATGTCCCATGTTCTAGCTTGTCAAAACAAAAAATCACTTCTTTTTCCTCATCACACACGACAGCAAGTTCGTAGCAGTAACCATAAATCCAGAGTCCAGACCTTTGTGTAGCTGCAGCATGGGGCTCCTGAACCGCCTCCCTCCTCGGAACCACGCGCGCTCCGACCCCTGCGCCGGCTGCTCCGTCGGGGCGAGGGAGCTCGAGGGCGTCGCCGCCGCGGCAGGCCGCGCCACCACCGACGACGGGGAGGCCGGCTCCGCCCTGACGGCCCCTGAGACGTCAAGGGAGAAGAAATCGGCGGCGGGGATGTCGACAAGGGGGTCCCCGGCAGCCGTAATCTCGTTGCGGAAGACGGCATATGTCGCGGTCGCGTCCTCCTCCGCGGCGGCAGGGTAGGAGGGCGACCGGGGCTCGGGCGCGTCGAGGTCCTCCTCCGGGGAGAAGTCCAGGGTAAGACCCGGGAGGGCGTCGTAGACGCATGCCTGGGAGCTCGCTTCGGCGGCCTCCATGACGGCGGCGGCTGTGGTGGCGGCGGCCGCTTGGGTCGGATGAACTCGTTTGCCCTTGGACCGCCGGGTAGGCTCCGCGGCTTTCGCCTTGCGAGGCATTTGGTCGGAGGATCGATCGTCGGATGGGCTTTGGTTCGACTGGAGAAGCGGCCCGGAGAGATTCGTTGTTTTCATACGAGTCCGCGGATGTCGGAAATTGTAGCCTTCCACGATTTGGCGGCCCGCGAAGCACGCATACAAAGCGGAGCGGTACTCCTCTCTCACAGACTTTTGTGGCAACTTCAACTCTAGACCCCAAACAGACGCACACATTTGTTTGTTTGGGTCGCGAGGCGGACGGTGTCCAAAGGACGGACAGTCGTTCGGAACATCTGCACCCCACGCATAGGAGTGGCCTGGATGCAAAAAAATCGAGCCATCCATCCACATCATGCTTGGCCCGCCACGTGGCCCTCGCCCCCAATCCACGCTCCGCCTTCCCGCGTGGGGGTGTCGGTTGCAGCAGCAATGGCCATCTGCAACTCCTACAATGACAGCAGCGGTGTTGCTCAGACTAATCTCTACTCCTAATGAAGCAGTTGGTAGGATTGCGTCCACGGTTTATTTTCGTCTGGTTATATTTTGTCTGGTTTATTTTCGTCCGGTTTAATTTCGTCTCATATCCCACCACCATATCTCCTCACATTGATTTTTTTTACCCTCACAATAAAAACTTTCCTAACTTTTCCAAAGTTTCCTAACTAGACACGTTATAAACGGGCATGTACCGATAGCACGTTATCAATTAATAAAATTTTGTTTTATGACAATCAATTCCAAATCCTAATCTCTACTCTTAATGTCTGAGTTGGTGAATAGTATCCACGGTTTATTTTCGTTGGTCTTTTTTCATCCTCCCTCCCACCATCTCTCCTATACATAGGTTTTTTCACCCTGCCACTAAAACCAAAGTAATTGCCTTTAATACCCTGCCTGGTTTATATCAGGTAATAATTCTCGCGCTTCTTTCTTTGGTAGGTGCTAATTTTCTTACCTTCTTACGTGAGATCACCTTCCCATCAAAAACCGAATTGGTTTCTTATTTGGCTTTTATATTCATAATATTTTAATACCAAATTACGGATTAAACAATTGCATTAAAAAATTTCGATCACCTTCCTAAAATCGTCCACGACTCGCTCGAAAGAGGGAGGGAGGCCCCTCGATCGTCTCGCTACGAGTAAACCGTCGTTTCGTTTCTTAACCTATCGATCGAACGAAATCCCCAGGCCCACCCCACGTCTTTGATTTCGTTCCATACCCCCACCACCGAAGATCCTTCCCATCCCCGTCCTAATCTTTCCTTCCAAAAATCTTAACTTTCCTTGCCTAGCTAGGGACCTAGGCCCACAAATTCTCAATCACAAAACACTCTACAATCTTTCCTTTGGTCTCATCCAGATTGTGATCCTCTCTACCAACGATCTCATCCTCGTCCTCACGGCGGCCAGGACTAGCACGTGGATGTAGCTGCGTATCGGAAATCCTAGGGATGACAGAGGATCCGGTCGCTATAGTGAGGCTGGTCGCTGGTGGCGGTCGGATTTTCACCATGGACAAAGCGGTAAGCGAAGTGGTGGCATGGGTGAGCGGCAGCAAGGACAACTTCTTCAACATGATGTGATGTCTCGACTACATTCAAAAGGCAACACAATCCATCCATCCTGCCGCACCTTATTACGTCTGTTTGGTTTAATCTTGATTTCATATCTGCATGTGTTTTTTGCTTTTGTACTGCATGTAGTTCATCAGGTGTGTCATGGGTAGGAGTCTTGGAGCAGCAAGTGTGCAAGGTGAGATGCCAGATCGTGTGAAGCGATGTAGATGGTGAGATGTAGTGTCGTGTGAATCGGCACGCCGTCGTGTGAAAAGGTAAGCTGAAGCCAAGGCCCTGAGGAGTAGACGGGTGAGTTTGTTAGTATTGCATGCCAGGTCTAGGAAGAAGATTAGCCGCATGGGATAGTTGGTTAGTGGTGCGTTGGTGCATGGGTTAGTGCCACAAAAATCAGGGCGGCTTTGCCTCGGTTGTGTGCGTGCGTGTGTGTTTTATTTAAGAGTTGTACGTATGTTTGCTTTGAGAAAGAGAAATACAGAGAGAAAAGGTCGTGGCTGTGTGAAGCAGCACGACGCCAAAAAACTTCTGTGTTCCATTGTTCCTGTGCGAACTTGTGAGAAACTGAGAGGAAGAAGGAGTTGGGGATCAGCTCCAACAATGTCCACCCTGTTTCTCAACTATGAAAACCGTAGTTTTAGTTCTATAATTATGTGTGCTTGGCTGCTTGCTTGATGATGATGATTGTGTGTGTGTGTGTCGCTGCATTCCTCACCTGCTCCCGCCAGTCAGCAGCGGCCGGCCGGTGCGGTCTCTCGCACGCTGCCAGTCGAAGGGGTGAGCTTGAGCTATGGATGCTAGCAACTAACAAGGTTTTGCAGAAACGCAGGTGAGGGGTCGCATCGCCATACCCGTCCCAATTGTTGGTGTTTTTTTTCTTTCAAATGGAAATAGCAAGGCGACTATCCTAACTATAAAAGTTGTACTAGCAGGATCATCAAAAACACCAATGTTTGAATTTTTAGACTATCTTCAGTTTCCGTGCCAAGCTCGAAATTTGAATATATAACATGCTCTCTTTATTTGAGCGTGTATGAATGTTCAATTGTTCATGCATGAAACTACATAACCAAGTATTGCTAGATTTAGTGATGCTTTCATCAGAGTTCTTGTACATCAGACTCCATTGTTATCACATGCTTGATATTTATCATGTCATCATTGGAAGTTCTGAGCGTTTTAGCCTATGATTGATGCGCCATGGGATGTAGGCGCCATCGATGGAAAACATGGTGTATGCGACTTCAAGTATGTTCTAATTTTGTTCAGTGCTTTGTGGACCGGTTTATGTGGTTTCTGATTTTTTTATGTGGTCTTGAGGTGCAGGAAGCCGGAGGGGAGAGGCAGTCGGTCAAGTCTTGCTCGAGAGGGAGGTGGACATGGAACTTGCGGCATTCTTGCACGGGTGTGGGGAAAGGAAAAGATGGAGCTTCTACTGTACACTTGAAGATTGTTGAATCATCCTCCGAGAAATAAATTAAGGAGTTGCAGGCATGTTAGAAGGTGACATGTTCATAGTATATCTTCAATGTTATGGACACAACACATTATTGTCAGCCTTGAAAAAAATTGTTTTACATACTCCCTCCGGCATTTTTACTCCGCGTATTAGATTTGTGTCAAGTTAAATTTTGCAATGTTTGACCAAATTTATATTGAAATTTATGAACATCTACAATATCAAATATATGAATTATGAAGCTACATTTCATAACGAATCTAATAATATTGATTTGTCATTGTGCATGTTGATATTTTTTTCTATAAGTTTGGTCAAAATAGAGATACTTTGACTTCAGACAAAACTTATATGTAGACTAAAAAGGACCGAAGGGAGTATATTACTCGTAAGACAAGCTAGGACTGAACATACTTTCTTGTGGTACGCAAACTACGTCATTTATGGTTGTAGACGAGTATTTTAACTGCTTCATTTCTTGCATGCTATTGGTAAGGTGCTTCCAGAACTCGTTAGAAAATTGATTGGAATGGCCTTCCATGTTCCCACTGTCGATTTTTCTGTTGTTTATTTCACCCTTAGATTTAAGGGAGCAACATATGAGCAGATTATTACGGCTCCTATCAAGTGAGTAATGCTAATAACTAAGATCAGTACACTTTATTGGGCTGAATTTTGGTTTCTGGTGTTTATGCAACATAAATATCTTTCTTTGGATGGGTAATAACAGTTTTGAAAATGTCGTTGTGACTCCTGAAGTACTCCCTCCGTCCCAAAATAAGTGTCTCAAGAAATGAAGCAGTTAAAATACCCGTCTACAACTATAAAGTTGAGGTACTTATTTTGGGATGATGGAGGGAGTATCTATTTACTAACATCTATTGTAGGTCCACATGTGAGAATACAGTTGTGCCCAACATTTTCTCAAATTTTTATTTCTTTGTTGGTTCCTCCCATGTATAAAAAGTCGATATTCCTCT